TAAACCTTTTTAAAGCGGATAAAACGGCAGGCTCGGATAGGGTCAGCGGTGACAGATCCTCTCTGTGGAATGGAATGAGGGATTCAAGCCTTTGGAAGGACTCCATTGGTTATAGGAATACAGAGTTGATCTCGTTGACAATCTCTTGCTCAGATAGAAGAGCGGAACTCTCGATCTGTAAGTTTGCAAACAAAGGGTCTGAGCCAGGAGCGAGAGCCATGTCAGCGATCCACTTGACCGCACTCCACCACTGGCTAGGCTTGGTTTGCTTTAGGTGGTTTACTTTTGAAACGTAGTAGTTGTTAGGGGAACTTTGTTCTGTCGTCAATTGTAATATCAGTCGTAAATTGTAATAACAGTTGTCGAGAATTGTATTAACCAAGCTATCGCAGTTTTCCTTTTTGTTAGTTCAATAACCACACAACAGTTATATAAGTACACAACAGATCAATAACCACACCAGTAGTTCAATGACCACACAATTCATTGAGCGTAAACTATATGTAGTTGCGGGAAAAATAGCCACAAATAAGGTAGTTACTTGTAATAAGAATGCGTATAGCATTAAGTAAGTGATAAATACTCATTCAGCTACGGTACGAGAACTAAATTGATAAATAGCTATGTTACACTGTTATTAAGTTCTAGTGAGCTCACTAATATAGACAGGAACATAGACTGATGTTAATTTAAAAATTTTAGTCTGCTCAGAAGGTCTGTCATTCTCATCAGGGGCACAGTGAACAGACCTGGAAAGAGAGTCAGCGCCGAAAAGGGAAACTAACTCGGTCCGGAGAAAACTAAAACTACATTTCCCGACAAAGCGTTCGTTGATAAAGCAGAAAAATATAACAGCTGCAGTTAACGTTGGATGAACCCTTTGTTTTTTGACTCTCTTTCCGCACGTTTCAAACCGTGGTACCACAGCTGGCCCTACGTGCCTGAGTCGAATTGTAATGATGCCGTGAATTGTAATATCTGTCGTAAATTGTAATAACAGTTGTCGAGAATTGTAATAACCAAGCTATCGCAAATTGTAATAACACGCTGTCGTAAATTGCAATAAGCCGAGCTGTCGTGAATTTCAATAACACATTGTCTTGCTTTGTAATAAGTCTTGAAAATGAACAATAATTTTCCAAGAACTCCATCTTCAGGATTGTTCTTTTCGACAAAAATCCCTCATCATGAGCTCATTGCTCAATAGGCCACTTCCAAATTCCAAAAACCGCACCGTTCAAAACGAGGCTAAGAGCAAAACCTTTTTGTGATAATGAGTTTCATCCTCATCAGAATAAAAACTCATTTTCACATCACTTGCTTTGCACTTAGCCTTGCTTTGAAACAGAGGTTTTGGGAAACTATGAAATCATGGCCTAGCCAATCAACCGTGACAGGGTGGCAAGAGTATCTTTTTTCATAAAATTTTTAACACAATGCTAGCCGTTTACTTCTTTTTGTTGACTTTTTGAGGTGCGAGTTCAGCAATAAAGTTCACTAACTGGATGTATATTTTTCTGATGAATAAATCAGCGTCGTGTTTACCTTCTCGGATAATCCGAATTAAACTTACTACTGCTACAGCTATTATTGCGTCGCGCAAAATACACAAATAATACACAAGACGAACGGACACTTTTTTTAACACAAAAACTCTAACACGTCTTTGCACTTAATAGCTTTAATAATATTGCATTAAGTCTGCAATAAGATTTGGCAGACGGGAGAGTGGCCCATACCATGGACCCAGTCTCTTATCATCACCCTTCCCAAGAAAGGCAATCTTTAACAGTGCAAGAACTACCGCACAATAAGCCTTATATGCCTCCCAAGTAAATTCCTGCTGAAGCTGCTGTTAAATAATCTGAAGCCTCAGGCAAAATTAATCATCACAGGAGAACAGGCAGGTTTCCGATCAGGTCGCAGTACCGCAGAACAGATCTTCAATCTCAGGATACTGTGCGAGAGGTACCTCCAACATCAACAAGACTTCTACCACGCCTTTATTGATTTTAAAAAGGCGTTTGACAGAGTATGGCATAAAGCCCTTTGGTCTACAATGAGGCTTTATAACATTAACAACCTGATCCAAGTCATTGAAAACCTCTACAACAAGGCCACTAGTGCAGTCTACCTTAATGGTGACATAGGAGACTGGTTTAGAAGTACAGTTGCGGTTAGACAAGGGTGTCTACTCTCACCAACTCTTTTCAACATCTTTCTAGAGAGAATTATGACTGACGCACTAGAAGATCACCAAGGAACAGTTAGCATCGGAGGCAGAACAATTACCAACTTACGTTTTAATGAACTAATCTCCCTGGTGGATCGCTTGGATAAGACCTCTGCAGCCTTTGGTATGGAAATCAGTGCAGAGAAGACCAAACTGATGACCAATAACGGGAATGGTATCAGCATTGACATCAAAATCAACGGTGGAAAATTGGACGAGGTTGATAGTTTCAAGCTTAGTATCTGGGCGCAGTCGTCACAGATCAGGTTTCCAAGCCTGAAGTACTGTCCAGAATTGCACAGACAACAGCAGCACTAGCGAGGCTGAAGACCATCTGGAGTGATAAGCATATCCCTCTAAGCTCAAAGATCAGACTAATGCCCTCCCTAGTTATCTCTGTACTAATGTACGCCTGCGAAACCTGGACATTGACAGCGGAAATCCTGAAGAAATTGCGGGCCACTGAGGTGAGATGCTTTCGGAAACTGCTTGGCATCTCATACAGAGATCACATCACTAACGATGCAATCAGAGACAGAATCAGGCAAGCCATTGGGCCCTATGATGATATCTTAACCACAGTAAAGAAACGCAAGTTAAAGTGGTTTGGGCATGTATGTAGATCATCAGGGCTTGCCAAGACGATTTTACAAGGAAGAGTGCAAGGAGGGAGAAGAAGGGGCCGACAAAAGAAGCGTTGGGAAAACAACATTGCTAAATGGACAGGGTTGAAGTTTTGCCATGCCGTAAGAGAAGCTGGAGAGGGTTGCAACGTCTGTGGCGCCCCAACGGGACCAAACACCATAAAACAAAGTTGGCGCTAGCTCTTTCCTGAAATGAAAAATAAACAACATAATATATATATAAATAAACAACAACATTTTATTTGTGTTACATGGTATGTGTAACCGAGATACCTACGCACTAAATACAGCAATACTGAGAAGGAATTCATTTGTCCAGTTTCATACGACGAATGATAGTTTCAGGCATGCCATGTTTCCCTTGTTTTAAAGTGCCTTATCGTGATAAATTTATAAATGCACGAAGATATTTATTTAGTACTGTAAATTAAAACTTTGACTATGGATTGCAATTGGAAAACAACTGATAAAGGCATTCGGTATGTTTATGACGTAATTAAAACAACGTAGTCTTTCCGTACTCTTTGCCTGGATTCGCAACCTTCGGGGGGCGCGCTATTTTCGGGATTTATCAGAAGTCACTAACTTTTGACGTTACTTCGGGGGTCGTTACTATGGGAACTTTACAGTAGTAATCAATGTGATCCGTCCCAACCTTGTGGGGCAATTCATGTCATGGTCTAAAGCGGGACATGTCCTGCAATACGAAAAAATGTAAAAAACTTACCTTCAGATGAAAAGGCAACAATTGTCAATATAACTCCGTATTTGACGAGTGTTGCTAAAAGTCGTGGCTCGTGGGTACATAATGGGTAGAGGTCGTGGGTAGTAGGTGTGGGTAAATGTCGTGGGTAAAAAAAATTAAATAGCAAAAAAGTTGTAAAATTGATGAAACGAAAATCTCCGCTTACATACCAGGAGTCCTAGTCCCCTTCCCCGCGGTCTGCAAAGCAAATAAGCGAATCCTTTGGTACAAACGGACACTAAAAACGTATTTAGGCGAGAAATAAAAGAAACTCTGTACACTATCTAAACCTGAAGCAGGTTAAAGAAAAACTGGAGACTGAACTGCTTTTTCTCAAAGATGTCAACATCCGTGACTGAAACGTCCTTTTCAGTTTAAGGAATGATATTCAGAATCGTTACAGCAAAGATTTTATACACAAAACAAAACAAAAAAGAATCGAGAATATTATATTTCCGTACGGAGATAAATTAAGTTTACATAAATTCTAGCCTCAACTTGAAAGGTTGAGCATGAAAGTGGTTCCTTCGTAAGCTAAGAGACCTAAAACGTCGTTAAGAAAGACTTCTATCCAAAAATATGAAATTTGTCAAAATTGTCTTTTTTTTTTCCTCACTTCCCTCCCCTTACCCACGGTGATTGCATTCTATCGTGTTAAAGGGACAGGTTCACGGTCCAGCGCATGCTCATAAATTAAATTGCCTTTTTTCTAATTTATTATTAATTCTATCGGTTAATAATCCCACCCTCATGTATCTCAGCGACCTCAGAGTGTATTTCAAAGTAGAAGTGTATTTCAGAGTAACCTGAAGTGGGATGGAGGAGCACTAAAATCGCAGAAAAATTAGTAGATTATGCCAACACTACCAACGGTGAATTTATTGTTGACCCCAAGGTTTTATTCCATGGTTGATTAATTTACAGCTAATTGCACCTAAGTTGATCAAATAACTGCCAGGGGAGTGTGCAGATTAGTTCTTTGACATTATTATGACATGATCATATTGCTTTCATAGACGATACAGGATTTCCTGGCAGAAAAACATCATTTTGATTAACGAGCATGCGCTGAACCGTGAACCCGTCCCTTTAAAAAATCTCCGCTGATCATTGGGACTGTATACGTAGATCGAATTAAGATTTATTATAGTATATAAGCAGCTACAACCATCACTGGGCGGGCAGGAGGTTGAAGCAGCTATCGCCATTCAGCGAGTCATAGCTGTCCCATACTTTCTGTAAATTGCACGTTTCGACATATTTTACGTCTGTTTCGATTATTTCGCGGTGATCGCTCAGATATCGATAAATCTTCATCAGCAACATGTCTTTTGTACAATGATGGAGTGAAAGAGGAGCCAAGTCCCACGTTGCTAAGGAAATATCAGGAAGAGGACGAAGAAGAAGCCGTGAAAAGCCTGGCAATCAAGGAGTCGGAGATTTTCGTTTTCTATTTGTTTTTCAATACTTTACTTTATCACTTTTTTCAATACTTTTTTTACCCACGACACCCACGACCCACACCCACGACCCACGACATTTAGTTACACTCTCAGTTTTGTCGTCCTATGTAAATAATACAACGGGCGTATCGCAGATAATCTGTGTGAAGTGCCAGCGGGAAGTTTTGAAATTTTCGAACTGGAAAAATTCCGGAAAAAATGTAACGAGGCCCTAAAAAATCAGTTGGCAGAGTACCACTTGACACGACAGAAGCGATGCGCTAAGGATTCTCCGGCCGAGTCGGGTCTAAACGGCAGACTGAAAAAAAATCCGCTTTGCATGAGCCGCTTCAGCCTTCAGAAGAACGCAGAAGTCACATTTACATTGCTCGTTTGCTTGCTTATATCAAGCGAACTCGAACTCCATTAACTGTAGCTTCATCCATTCCTTCCGGTTTCCCATGATGCTCTTCAGTTCAGCAATGCTCAAACCAGTATTATTTTGTTGTTGCTGGTCTTCCTCTCTTTCTTGCACCGTGCTTTGGTCCCCAGAGTAGTAGATCACTTATCACCTCATCCTTTTTTCTCCATTTACATTGAAGCGATTGATAAACCGACATTCAAAGGACACAGTATCGTAACGAATTTTAGATCATGGTTCTACCAAAGAAGTGACAAAACTAGCGTTAAAGAATAAATGCTGAGTACAGCCACACATTGTACTCTGAGATCGTGTAAACCTCAACTGTACGGAGACATTAAAAGCCGATACCTTAGATAACAGCATCTATGGAAAATTACTTTTGCACGAATCTTATAAAAGGGACAATTTATTCAACAGGCGGGAATACGCGCGTACTGAATAAATCGTCTATTGCATAAAGGTGCTGGCAGACTTTCACATTTTTCCTTACTGAACATAAACTGTACCGAGGCGTGTCAGTGACTGACGTCTCGACAACCTGTGCGGTAGTCATCTTCAGAGTCAAACTGAGTTGCAACACGTCAGTTGATGATATGATGTCAATGAGCCTGAAATCATTTCAGAGTATAGTATAATATAATAGTATAATATGCAATATCCTCTATACCCGAGGTCGTAATACATTCTAAACTCGATCCCTATCATGAAAAACCCCAGATTCTATGACCACCTTTATGTCTTTTCCCTGAGCCTTGTCCTCTTAATTACTTCAATTTACTGACACTCATCGAAAGCAGAATAACACGTGCTCGACTTAAAGTATCAACTTAGTTTAAAAATTCGTATCCAAATGTGTTTTTTGTTTTTTTTTTTTCAGAGAACTGGAAGAAGATCAATACTGGCCCAGTCTGCTTTGGAGCTCGAAATGACTCATATGGGGCTTTCAACATCGGAGAGAGTGGGGTTATTCGTACCTTTAAACTCGTTCATCTGACTGGGTCAATTACATGTAACCCCGATTACCCTCCTTCTTATTGGGGATGTGAGTTTCCCGGGTACGGAGACACGAGACTCCAAACCGTCATAACGTTCAAGAACAGATCCGCTCTTTTGTTGGCAGATTACAGGAAAAATTGTGGCCATTCATATAAGATCGAAGGTGTAGGTGTTAATGAGATCGAACTTCGATTTAACAATCTTCCCTCTCCAATATCTGTGTCTGTTGGAGATGAGTTTCAAATTTGGTACGGACAAGACTTATATTACTGTTCAGAAGACAACAACAGCGGTCAGACATGTGCTGATGTTTATGCGCGGTACGCGGGAATCAAAGGATAAACAATATCCACCAGGGAAACATTTAAAATGCAAATGCATGTCAATCTAATGGGTTAAATTATGGCTGACTTTTATGTTCTGTATGCCCTGTTTCAAAAGTGTTGTCTCTTCATGGAT